TTTCCAGCACACTCTTCTGTATTTTTTTTATTTTAATAAAAACAATGTATATTTATAGTTGAAAAATAAAAATGGGGAGGAGTGAGCAAAGTGACATTATTCATAATCTCAGCACCTGAAGGTGACACCTGTCACTGCCATTGGTCTGTGATCTTCTAGGTCTTTTTAACATATGTACACACACACTTGGACACAGGACTGCCTTTTCCTAGTGATAGAATGTTTCCTTTGTTCACGAGATCACTATAACATTTAAGCTGTTGCTGCTCTCCTAGCATAAACGCTGATTATTAGATTGAGTGCCCCAGTGATGGTTAACAGGGATGATGGGCATTACAGTCAGTCCCTGCAGACGGGAGAGGTGGGGAGGAGGGTGTTTGACTACACCCAGTCAGAATTTAAAATCATTAACTCGTGCTTACAGGCAGGATTGGGCCCCTTGCCGCCAGCCCGGGTAGGGAACACTGGCCGAGTCACAGGTGCCCTGGAGTCTTCCCACGGTGCTGATCCATTCTTCCCCTGGTGTCACCTGCCCACCCTTGTGGCCTGCTGGGTGGGAGCTGTGGTGGGTGGCAGTGCGGGGAGTTTCCTGGGAGGTCGTCCTGCTGTGGTTGTGCTTCTCGACCTCACGCTGGCAGCTTGTTGACCGCTTGATAATTGTTCGTTAGCTGTGCTTGGTCGTGGCTGCGCATTCTCGTGTGCGTCACACATCAGTGCTCAGTAGTTTCTTACTGAACTAATTAATACTTGAAGGTTTTGTGTGTCTGTGTGTATATGCTGCTCCCATTCCCAGGGAGTATGAGTTATTGAAAGCATATTAATACAGTTATTTCTATTTTCCCCCATGTGTAAGATTATTCTTAGAAAAACCATATTATTATGTATTTACTTTCTCTTATTTTTTTGTTTTTGGGGAAGGCCACATGGCAGAAATGAGGTCCTTTTGGTTGTGTGTGGTGTCAGGATATTTTAAGTCCCTCAGTGAGTAACGAGCCCTCACTGAGGTCCCCAACAGGACGAGCCCCTCCCCATAGTGACACTCTCCTGCTCTTCACTCTTGCTTGACGTTGTTCTCAAAACCCGCAGACGCCGTGACAGATCTGGCCGCGCACCCCGGGTACTACGGGAAGCTGGTGGAGGAGTCGCTGGGCAAGTGCTGCCTGGTGACGGGGGAGATCGAGCGCGACCTGCACCGCTCCTTGCCGGAGCACCCTGCCTTCCAGAACGAGACGGGCATCGCTGCTCTCAGGAGAGTCCTGACAGCCTACGCCCACCGGAACCCCAAGATTGGCTACTGCCAGGTGAAGTGGGGTCACCGCAGTGCCAGAGGCCTTTTAGCATGTGTCCTCGCATTGGCCCACCCAGGGCTTCACCTCTGTCCCCAGCCATCCGGTCCTGAGGATGGTGGTGCGAGGGCACCCTGCTTGGTCCCTTCCCTGAAAGAATGTGTTGAGTAAGGGCCAGAAGATTTAAAGATTTGAGACTGAAAAATTTACTCAGTACCTGAGTAGAGAGATGTGTCTGCCGAGTCGCTGTCGCCGTCTTTGCCACCCCTCTTGAGCTCAGCCACGGGAGGGGATTAATAGAACTTCTGGATCTCTGTGGAAATAATGGGGATTATTTATTTATTTATTTATTTATTTATTTATTTATTT